AAGAAGCAAATAAAACGCAAGAAGTTATTGTATTGTACTTATTTTCGATAATGGGTCTTCATGGAAATTTGTCTCCTTTCTCACAATGCATATATTGTCTCACTTTATCGATGGATAGCACCGAAGAATACTGCTTTCTATTTTTTTTTGGTTATCACAAAGTATGGGGCTATTGATCATAAATAACTGTGTTTTGAAAAAAAAAACCCATAAATTTATACATAGTACTATGTGGTGAAAAACTTTTGTGGAGGTTTGTTTAAAACAGTTTCAAAGTCATGATTAAATAGAGAAAAGGTAAAAAATAAGTAGTAGCAATTTTTAAAACACATTTCAGCGTATACAGAACATACTTCACTAATAAATTTCAGCGTTACACAACAAAGAACCAAGTGCCTTCTACAGAATAATTTAGATAAGAGAGAATAACATAGTTTTATTATCGTAATAATAATTACCAAATGTGCAGAAGGTTTTTAAAATAACTAGAGTAGATTTATTGACATTCCCGCCGGAACGAAAAGAAACCAATTGTTTCTTTTTCTTAGCTATACAAACAAGTAAGATAATCAATTATTCGCATACTGTAATACTCTTATTACTAAAAGAACGTTAGCAATTTGAAAATAGTAGGCAAGCAGATATGAAAACCTTTTGATTTATAAACTTTAGATGATAGGCAGACCCACACAGCAAAAACATTAGTAAAGGACAATCCCAAAATATATGCATGGTAATTCAAACATGGTACTTTTATAGTGAAGTAATAAGCATTACCAAAATCAAATATTCTTATAAAAATCACAAGAAAATTTTTAAGTGAAATCAATAAACAAAATGTTGTCATGGGGATTTTTTAATGATCGATCTAGAAACTACCTTTTAATTTAAACATAGTAGATGAAAAAACTCGGTCCCGTCTTTTTTACGATCATTGATCCATTTGACATTAAAATTATAATTTATCTTTTCCTTCAATAAATTTTTGAAAAAATCCATGGTCATCCCTAAATAATGTGGTCTTGCCAGTCGTCATTCAGTTTGAAATTCCCTGTTTTTCGGCGAATATGTACGGGAATAATATTTGACCATGAATTATATAATATTGAATAAATTATCCAAATCACGATCTGATAAGGACAGAGTCGAGAATGAAAAGAGGGGCCTACCGAGAGCGAGATCCTGGGCCCGGGCCCAGTTGGCCAATACCTTAAGACGTTCCTGTTGCGGAGTATTCTCTATCTCAAAAATTTAAAAAAAGGTTGGTCTATGGAAGCAGGGGGAGGGAGGAGACCGAATCTCTTTCCTTTGTGCACGTCACTGCAAACGAATCAGCAATGTTTCTTTCAATCTAAATTTTACTTTTATATTTGACTATATTCGTAAGTTTTGAATGTTCTTTCCCTGAATTCCTGAGGCTCAGAAGATTTGTTTCTCATCAAATCTTTTTAAAGATTGAAATACGACACTAACCTTCCTTAGGGCCCTACATATTTTCTATTTAAAGGGATCCCTCAGAAATTAGAGCATACACAAAAACATAAAACAATAAATAAAACAAAACTAAATAATGTGAAAAGCTTTAACAATCTTAAATTTTTATTAAGAAAAAAAATACTTAATATCAATAAATTTTAGTTTTTTAAGAACTCAAACTCAGTTGTGCAACTGCCCATGAGAGCCAGGGCTTACTGTGCCCATCACAGTATACGTGACCACTGGGCGCTGAGGTGCATGAGCAGATGTCCCGATCAGGTGTTCAGTCTGAAGCGAGACTCCCAGTATTTAAGTCCCCAAGCAAGCTTAGTACTCATTTATCGCAGTAGGGATGAAAGGGTGAGTCGACCTTTCCCAGTCCAGGAATAAAACCCGGACCTGTGATGTGAAAGCGCGATGCGCTACCACTCGACCACTGAGCCTTAAAGAGAAGGCCAACGGCATGGAATTTTTTTTTTCATCTCGAGGTTTAGTATTCTCAAAAATAATCATGGATGAGTGAGTGAATATTAACGTCGCACTGTTCAGCAACACGAGGTCTTTTGGCGACGGACCACGTAATTTTGAACCATGGTCAAGTGACCAGGACGACACCTGAACTAGCACCACTTTCCTTGCTACCACACCAACGGGAGGACGTTTGAGCTTTCGACAGATTTAACGTGCAGCGCCCCCTACATTGCGGGTCTTTAGGGGTACTGGGCACGAGCTCAATGCAAGGCCAGCCACGATCCAATACCATGACCACTCGGTTACCGCGGCCACAACAAAAATAATCATGGATTCGAGGCCTTATTTTATGGAAAAATTAATCGTGATGAAAATGAGAGCTGCTTCACACTGCACCTGAAAATTTTACAGTTCTCACGTGTCGGGTAATTTTAAATTGACGTCGCTTTAGAAATAATACGAAGTGAGTGAGTGGATATTAACGTCACACAATTGAGCTACTCGAGAGCCTTTGGCGACGAACCTCGAAGTAGTACGGAGACAACTAGCAAAGGACCTCATAATCTTAAATCATGATCAAGTGATTATTGTGTTGCCATTACACACTGAAACACAACATCAATGTGAGAATTTAACTCATCAACTTCCCTGCAAGTCTGTTTGAGGAAGGTTGCGATCCTTACCCCTTTACTTCAGAAATGAGTATTACTCTAGCAAAAAAGTCTATGTGGTCTTGTAGATAGGGTTAAAATTAAAGATGAAAAGAGGTTGTTGCTTTATTGACTACATGCATCCGATCAGGTTGAGTTGCCACAAGCAGTATGAGCCGAACAGAATATATTTCTTATGTAATATAAAGGTAATAAGGTCAGGAATTAATTAGTAATTCACTGCGTGGCTATAGTGGAATGCGAATTAATTCAATAAAAGCAAACTTTATACGTGGACTGTGGTGTTTGTACAAGGACTTCTTCATTACGCAATTTGTTGAAGTCACGTGATTTATGCGGAATGTTTAAAATGACGGAGAACAAGAGTTAAACTTCAATACAAAACGAGACCTTGAATGAAACTCTGTATCCTTTTGCTCTGCACCTAAATACTAATTTCTTTTAACGAAAACTGTGTATTATATCTCGATGGTTGATATAACTACAGAGAATGCCAAGTTCTCAGATATTTTCACTTATATATGGGCAATCGAAAACTGCTCCACGCTTATTACTCCCGACGGTATTCTGAGTCCCGTTTTTGAAGTAAATTTCCTGAGAAATACTAAGTGGATCTTAGCAATAAAAGATTTCGATCAGCAGTTTATCTCTTATTGTATTCAAAGAGAATACGATGGTGGACCTGACAGCATTGAAGTATTCTTTGAACTTTCATTTCTCTCCGCTGATGGATTCAGTTTAAAAACTGTGCAAAGCCGTTCTCACTTTAAAGAAGGTGAATATTTAGAATATGCTGCGTTCACAGAGTATGTCTTTGAGTTACACAGACTACAATATCTAGTAAATGACACACTTACACTTCGTTGCCGTATGTTTAGACTAAGAACAGATAGTTTGTCCGAACGAAATCTGTGCTTCGCTCGAACTCGTTTAGGTCTAGAGCGGAGGATCTTTATCTGGGATATAAGAAATTTCAGCACTTTTCCACCAGGACGGGATGTGAAGCACGAGATAGATATAGAAGGAGCCTTGCCGTTACAATTAGCTTTTAATGTGGTCGTTGTTGATGGAATAGAGCATGTTGCATTCAAAATTTTCAAAAGTCCTTCTGGCAGATTTCTTCGTTTCAATGGTGAAATCTCAATTTTAGACGTAAGTGGAAAAAAGTATCTGACCCATGATTTTTGTAGTTTTTCAACTGTGATTGATCTAAATTTGATAGTGTGTGAGAAAACGTTACTGATGGATAATAAAAGTACCTTATTATTGGATGATTTATTGTGTATACGAAGCGAATTTGAAATTGGATACGGTGCTGTTTGTAGTGATATTGAATTTTATGTGAACTCTCCTGCATCAGAAAGGAAGGTACATTTTGAGTAGCTAAAATAGGATTACTAGAATTGCTTTTTCATCAAAATAGGATGATTCGAACCCTGAATTTTACAAAATTTAAAACAGGTAAAGAAATACATTTTTTCTGAGCTCCGAAGCTTCACATTTGAGGAGAAAGAAATATCTACAAGACAACTTACATTTTCTTGATTTTTAAAAGCATTTCTACTGTGGTTGACAACTTGAATTGGTTATTTTTTTAAATATTAAAACATGACCAGAATCGCATTACGGCATTCTACATCAATTTCTTAAGACTTTAAAATAGGAGACAAATATAATTGTGTAGACACTTTAGTATTATACTGTTGACCTACTTCTCTAAATCAAAACATGTCGCCAAAATTATGTCATCATTATTATCATTATGTTTAAGTACGTTTGATGATTTTCCACTGTTGCTGCTTATTGCAGCATTTGGCGACATTGGTTGACGTTATAATACTAAGTAACTTGTATTCATATTTTATATCACTATTTACTTTTTTTTAAAGTAATTTTCTTTAAATTAATGCTGAATATGTAATTTTAAGATTATTTGTTTTACGTTAAAAAGAATTGTTATTCTTGAATCCAGTTTGCTTAAATACTTTATGGTTAAGAAAATTAAAGCCAACTATTTCTGTGTTTATTAAATTCTTTTAACTTGAAAGCTACGCGGCTCGAGTTTCAGTGACTTTCTTGAAACTTTAATTTCTCGAAACGTTTTAAAACTATTTAAAATTGTGAATGTTTTAAATTATTTAATTATGTTTCTGTGGGTAATATTTTAAAGTATCTGATCACTTTGAATCTAGCTGCTCATCCGGTATATTGGTTAGTGACGCTGACTGCGGTGCCGTAGGGGCTGGGTTCGAATCCCGGATAAGGCATGGATGTTTGTGCTGTAATACTTCTCTGTAATGTGTGTTTCACGCTTACTTCTATGTAAGCCCCCGTGTGATACTTTGTGGCGCACGAGGTTATAAATGTTCTCAATGAAAAAAAACGGCTTTCGGTTTTCCCAGGTGGTCACCCTCCCAAGTACTGACCGCGCCCGATGATGCTTAACTTTGGTGATTGGACAAGAACAGGTGTTTTGAGTATGGTATGGCCATTGGCTTTTTAAGAACAGTTTACTTATAAATTTTCTTAAAAAATGAAATATATACCTTCTAACCATACTCTAACCTTATAATTCTTGTATCTATACAAAGACCAATATACTGTAAAATCCGGCGTACAAGGCGCACACTTTTAATACAAAAAATAAGATCCAAATTAACGAGGGCGCGTTATATGCCGGGTATAAACATGAGAGCTTTAAAAATTTGAAAAATGAGGTGAACATAGAAAAAAATTAGACTTCTACCTATATGGAAATACTATTTATTTGAAAGAATTGACATTCTTTATTATGAACTTTTAAAGGGTTGTAAATCTAGAAAGATACTATTTTTTCTAAAGCTTGGAATAATACTTCGAATAAATGACTTCAAAATATAAGAGCATCGCACAAGTATTTTCAAGGTTTCTTCTCAAAAAAGGGGGGCGCGTTATACGGCGAATATACCTAAATATTAAAAAATGTAGCTTGAAAGTATAGGGGCGCATTTTATGCCGGATTTTGCGATTTTTTGTTTGTTTAGTATGAACAGTTTTTTTTCCAACAGAAAAGTAAATTGTCTTACAGTAGAACGTCGTTTATCCGAACGTCAATTATCCGGAGCGTCAAATATCCGAACCAGGTTTTTTTTTGTCAACTACATGTACTGTATATGAATACGTTTTCGAACAATGCAATGCTCAACAGTTGTTTCGCGTGAGACCTCAATATGAAGGACGCCTGTTACGTGCTAGCCGAAGCGTGGGACTCACTCGAAAGACAGAGCGTGGAAAATGCATGGAATAAGCTGTGTCTAGATTTAGAAGGCGAAAAAGACTTCGATGACGACCACAGGGAAGACATTACAGACTTTGTCTGATCGATCCGAGAATTTCAAGAAGGCGATGAAGATGTAGAAACCTGGATGGCATGCGATGCAGAAGACTGTGGGTTTCAAATGCAAAATGGTGACGAGATTGTGACTTCGTGCAAAAAGAATCCAAACCTGTCGACGATGACAACAACAACAACAACGAAAGTAGCAAGGGTCCATCAAATGCTATCGCGTTTTCTGTGTTAGAGATAGTTAGAGTTGTACGAACAACAATCAGAGTGCTGTCCTACTCAACTACTGATCAAGAAAATCGGAGACCTTGTAGTGAAAAAACGAAGGTGTACAATGGTACAGCGAAAAATAAGTGATTGTTTTCCGCAACAAAGGTAACATTTTGCTTTTTATTCAAGCCCGTTTCCCGCGCGTGATGATTTTCAATATTCGCATAGTGTCTGGTTCCATATACTGCATGTGGCCGTAGTAGCCGAGTGGTATAGGTATCGGATGAGACTGGCTTTGTCACGAGTTCGAGCCCAGTACCACTTAAGACCCGCCGTGTAGGGCAGCGATGCACGCTAAATCTGTCGAGAGCTGAAACGTTCTCCCGTTGATGTGGTGTGCCAGCTTAGGTGTCGTCCACGTCACTTGACCATGGTTCAAAATTATGTGGTCCATCGCCAAAATCACTCGTGTAGATGAACAGTGCGACGTTAATATTCCCTCACTCACTCCATATACTGTATGGATCGCATTCGTTTATCCGAACAATCATGTATCCGAACGGTGTCCGGTCCTGATTGGACGTTCTACTGCGCTTACAAACGTTTTCAAAACAGCAGTTTGACCGAGCCCTTAAAAAACTGGGGTTCTAGACATGTGTCTCATTTGTCTGCGCAATGATTCGGTTCTGTGTGGAAATGGTCATTATTACAAATTTCTTGCAATAGATACATATGTTCAGTGAGTGATTGAGAGCGATATTAACGTCCCATTACAAAGCTGCACGAGGACTATTGACGACGGACCTCGTAATTTTGAACCATAGTTAAATACCGAGGATGATACCTGAGTTGGCACCTCCCTTTCCTAACTTCCCCACCACACCAACTGGAGGACGTTTGAGCCTCGACATATTTAACGTTCATTGGTCCCCTCTGCATGGCGGGTCTTCAGCTGCACTGAGGAAGAACTCACGATGCGCCTGCACGAGTCCCCGTTACCTGGACCACCTGGCTACTGAGGTCACTACGTATGTTCAGAGTATTCCCGATAAGTTCATGAGCTAAAATGATAATTAATAAATGTGATAAAATGCAATAAAGTGATAAAATGTGACTAAGAGATTAGGATGATATGACTTTAATGCTGGAATAAAGCTCACCCCATACTCAGCGTCCAAGTGCCAGTTTATCGATTGAGAGCTTTGGGCGGGCACCCAGGGGCCCGAGGCCCGGATGAGCTGGACTTGACCAGATTTTCTGGTCAAATTTCGATCCTCCAGTACCAAGGTAGCCTGTAGATCTTTTGCGCCCAGGGCCCGAAATAAGCTTAAATTGGCACTGTAGCGTCCGATGTTTCTAAACTCCTAAATATGAGAAATATTTCCTACTTTTTGAATGATTACAGCTTGTATAGGATGTTTTTGTGTCACGTGGTGTATGATCATAAATTCATGGAAGGAAGTATAACATTGTGAAATATTTAACCACAAATACTTCGACACATTTATTCGTCACATAATCAGCTTGGTTAACCGCTGTCAGCACCTTGTAGCATACAAAGTTTGAAAATAAAACATGATTATATATAATTATCCTCCTTTACCGTTGCAGAAAATTTTTCTACAAAATTTTAAGCCTAAGGATAAAAATTATATCTTAAAATTATTACTCGTAATTGTATAATTATAGCACCTTTTTAAAAGCATATACTTTTACGTATATGCTTTTAAAAAGGAATTATGTTATTCGTTACATACTCTAGCACCACTAGCGTAGCTAGTCCTGTGTGGGCCCTGTATCATAATTCCTTGGGGACACTTTTTGGGAAATGGGGGAGCTCTGTTAATAGGGCTATTGATAACATGTTGCGATTCTTTGCTTGTACATGTTGGGGACCATGTAGCTTGGAGACCCTGTATCATTGATACGACGGTAGCTACGCCGCCCTTGCCTAGCACTCTACGTCCGTAGTACAAAACGTTTTAAGAATAGCAATTTTAAATTTTGCTTGTATTATTTTAATCCTTGATTATTTATCTATTCATTTTCTAATGGAAGTCTTAAAGAGGGGGGAACATCCGACAGTATATAAAAATCAAAAGACAATTTTTAAGTGAAATTGATAAACATAATGTTGCCATGGGGATTTTTTTTTAATGATCACCCTAGAAATATTGCCTTTTAATTTAAACATAGTAGATGAAAGAAATCACATTTGTATATTTTTTACAACCATTGATCCATTTGATATTAAAATTGTTTTATTTGTTTTCTACTATGAGTTTTTGGAAAAAATAAACGAAATGTTCTTTTGTAAAGATTTTAAGGAAGTATAACATCTAAAAGTACAATGTGATTCTCTAAATTAATATAAATTTTATTCAGAAGTGAAATAAGGGTTCATGTTTTAAAATTTTGTTCCAATAAAAAAAAATGTTGAACAAAAGTACGAAAACATATGTCCTAATGTAATCTGTTTCTCATCTCAAAAGAAGTTATTTCTAAATTTCATAAAATATTGGAAATAAAAGTTGTCAAATTAATTGTGTTTGAACGAAAATTTTCAATTGATAGAGACCACATCTTCTAAAAAGCTGCATAAAGTTGTAAGATATTTTTTTAAATAACAACTATGAAAAAAATAATTCGTTTCTGATTTTTCACTATAAAAGCTTATGATTATCCGAGATTTATTCCATTAAAAGGGAATATGGAAAGAACTTGGAATTAGAAGAAGATAATTAATTCATAAAAAATCTGTTTAATAAACAAAAACCTTCGCGAAAAATAGTCAAAAAAATTCAACAACATGAATGAAAATTAAAAAAAAAAAATTTAACAAAGCATTCAGAAATTTAAAAGGGAGATATGCATTGGAAATTAAAATAGGAAGAAGTTCAAGAATTAATTGAAATCAATGCAGAATACAAAATCATGCATCAGGTACAGATTTCTATTCCAAAATAAGTGTTCCTAAAATTGTTTCAAAAACTTTGTAAATTTGTTTCATCAGAGATAGTTCAAATAATCTTTAAGAAAACTGGACATAAAATGGTATATAAGCTATAAATAGTTATACGGTTATGTTCTTCCCGTGTCAGACTGATCATCAGACCGGAACATCTGTTCATGCATCTCAAGGCCCAAGATCGCATATACTGAGCTGGGTACAGTAGGTCTTGGCCTTCATGGGCTGTCGCGCCACTGAGTTAATTTACGTTCGTAAAAGATTATATTATAAAGCCTAAATTGTTTTGAAATGAATATATTTTCACAGCGATTAAAATAAATTTAATATTTTTGGCAGTAATCGTAAGGAATAATGGAAATCAAAGATTATTTCACCGTCTATAAAATATATTCCAACCATGAAACACGGAGGTGTTTCAGTAATTATTTAGAAATGTAGCACCAAAGCAAAGCATCAAACAGATTGGCCAGCAGCAGCCTTTAATTCTGTTCAATCAAAGAGCTCAATTTGCCCTCAATTAAAAAAAAAACTCAAAAATTTAAGAAAATAAATCATACACAGTACAACAGCACTAAGATAAAGTGCTCAGATTCAACACCACTCCTAAACACGACAAGAGCGAAACCAATTCTTCCATCAATTTTACTGCCATCAGTATAGCAAATAACAGGGAAATCATTTGTGCTTTTGTCACTAAGTTGAATAATATTGATGGTATTCCTCTCTGAAGGATAAGGGAGAAAAAATGGAGACAAAATGCAATCATAATTAGAGATGGAAGAAGCAAAGAGATTTTCCCTAAAAGCAATATTTTGAAGAATCATTAGGGCTATTGGCGATGGGTTTCGTAATTTTGGACCGGGGTCAAGTGAAGAAGAGAACACTTGAGTTGGCACCACATACATCTAGAAAGCAATCCACTAAAAGATATGTTGTTAAACAGAAATCACATACATATTATCAATCTCTCCTTGGGAAATTTCTTT